TTATTTTTTATACTTAGTGTAGTCCTAACCTGACCTGACCTAACCTAACCTAACCTGACCTGACCTAACCTAACCTAACCTGACCTGACCTAACCTAACCTAACCTAACCCTAACCTGACCTAACCTAACCTGACCTAATCTAACCTAACATGACCTAACCTAACCTGACCTGACCTGACCTGACCTAACCCTAACCTGACCTAACCTAACCTGACCTAACCTAACCTAACATGACCTAACCTAACCTAACCTAACCTAACCTAACCTGACCTGACCTAACCTAACCTAACCCTAACCTGACCTAACCTAACCTGACCTAACCTAACCTAACCTGACCTAACCTAACCTAACCTAACCTGACCTAACCTAACCTGACCTAACCTAACCTAACCTGACCTAACCTAACCTAACCCTAACCTGACCTAACCTGACCTAACCTAACCTAACCTAACATGACCTAACCTAACCTAACCTGACCTGACCTGACCTGACCTAACATGACCTGACCTAACCTAACCTGACCTGACCTAATCTGACCTGACCTGACCTAACCTAACCTGACCTGACCTGACCTAGCCTAACCTGACCTTACCTAACCTAACATGACCTGACCTAACCTAACCTGACCTTACCTAACCTAACCTAACCTAACCTGACCTAACCTAACCTAACCTAACCTAACATGACCTGACCTAACCTAACCTAACCTAACCTGACCTAACCTAACCTGACCTAACCAATAACATTCTTTCCCTTACGCTCCCTCTCAACCACAGACATACTCACCACAGCCATACTCACCAGTCATACTCACCACAGTCATACTCACTACAGACATACTCACCACAGACATACTCACCAGTCATACTCACCACAGCCATACTCACCAGTCATACTCACCACAGTCATACTCACTACAGACATACTCACCACAGACATACTCACCAGTCATACTCACCACAGACATACTCACCACAGACATACTCACCACAGACATACTCACCACAGACATACTCACCAGTCATACTCATCACAGTCATACTCATCACAGTCATACACACCAGAGTCATACTCACCGCAGCCATACTCACCACAACCATACTCACCACAGAGGCCCAGTGTGCCCACTCACAGCGTGCCCGCCCACAGACACGGCGCCCCAGCTGCGGTACACGCCCATCGAGCAGACAGTGCCGCCCGGCTCCCCCGTATCCTTGAAGTGTTCGGCTGTGGGATTTCCTGCCCCCGTCATCACCTGGACCCGTGATCACCAGCCGCTGCTCACCTCCCACAGGTAGGTCACCATGGCACCAGGTCACCAGGGCGCCAGGTCGCCAGGTCATCACTTCACCATGGGACCTTTTCGCCAGGTCCCCAGGTCACTAGGTCACCTGGGCACCAGGGCACCGTGGCACCAGGTCACCAGGTCACCAGGTCGCAAGGTCACCAGGTCACTAGGTCACCAGGTCGCCAGGTCACCAGGTCGCCAGGTCACCAGGTCACCAGGTCGCCAGGTCACCAGGTAACCAGGTCACCAGGTCACTAGGTCACCAGGTCACTAGGTCACCAGGTCACCAGGTCACTAGGTCACCAGGGCACCAGGGCAACAGGGCGCCAGGTCACCAGGTCGCAAGGTCACCAGCGCACCAGGTCACCAACGCACCAGGTCACCGGGTCGCCAGGGCACCAGGTCACCAGGACACTAGGTCACCAGGTTACCAGGTCGCCAGAGCACCAGGGCATCAGAGCACCAGGTCACCAGGGCACCAGGTCGCCAGAGCACCAGGGCACCAGAGCACCAGGTCACCAGGGCACCAGGTCACCAGGGCACCAGGTCGCCAGAGCACCAGGTCACCAGGGCACCAGGTCACCAGGGCACCAGGTCACCAGGGCACCAGGTCACCAGGTCACCAGGTCACCAGGTCACCAGGTCACCAGGTCACCAGGTCGCCAGATCGCCAGGTCACCAGGTCACCAGGTCACCAGGTCACCAGGTCGCCAGGTCACCAGGACACTAGGTCACCAGGTCACCAGGTCACCAGAACACTAGGTCACCAGGTCACCAGGATACTAGGTCGCCTGGTCGCCAGGTCACCAGGTCACCAGGACACTAGGTCACCAGGTCACCAGGTCACCAGCTAGGTCGCCAGAGCACCAGGTCACCAGGTCACCTGGTCGCCAGGTCACCAGGTCGCCAGATCGCCAGGTCACCAGGTCGCAAGGTCACTAGGTCACCAGGTCACCAGGTCACCAGGTCGCCAGGTCACCAGGTCACCAGGGTACCAGGTCACCAGGTCGCCAGGTCACCAGGTCGCCAGGTCACTAGGTCACCTGGTCGCCAGGTCACCAGGTCACCAGGTCGCCAGGTCACCAGGTCACCAGAACAATAGGTCACCAGGTCACCAGAACACTAGGTCACCTGGTCGCCAGGTCACCAGGTCGCCAGGTCACCAGGTCACCAGGTCGTCAGGTTACCAGGTCGCCAGGTCACTAGGTCGCCAGGTCACCAGGACACTAGGTCGCCTGGTCGCCAGGTCACCAGGACACTAGGTCGCCAGGTCACCATGGCACCAGGTCACCAGGTCACCAGGTCACCTGGTCGCCAGGTCACCAGGTCACCAGGTCACCAGGGCACCAGGTCACCAGGTCACCTGGTCGCCAGGGCACCAGGTCACCTGGTCGCCAGGTCACCAGGTCACCAGGGCACCAGGTCACCAGGTCACCTGGTCACCAGGTCACCAGGTCACCTGGTCGCCAGGTCACCAGGTCACCAGGTCGCCAGGGCACCAGAGCACCAGGTCGCCAGGTCACCAGGGCACCAGGTCGCCAGGGCACCAGGTCGCCAGGTCACCATGGCACCAGGTCGCCAGGGCACCAGGGCAGCAGAGCACCAGGTCACCAGGGCACCAGGTCACCAGGTCACCAGATCGCCAAGTCACCAGGTCGCAAGGTCACTAGGGCACCAGGTCACCAGGTCGCCAGGGCACCAGAGCACCAGGTCGCCAGGTCACCAGGTCGCCAGGTCACCAGGAACCTCTCCTCATCTTTCACATTACAGGTTACCTAGTCGTCAGCCTACATAGGATCCTTCTCCTTCCTAACCCAAACCTATTTTTTTTTTTTAATATTCAAGCACAATCGCTTCCAATCTCCGCGACGAGCTGATGATCTTTTCCTCCTGAGATTCTGCTCTTCTCTCGCCGTCCAGCCCGCTCTCACGACTTACTAACTATCAAATTTGAAACAGCATTTCCTGAAAGGGGTCGTTCGTATGTATACAACTGGCCATGCCGTTTTCCATTCATAAACAGGGGATTTGGGTTGGATTAACGAGCTTGGATCTGTGTATGCGAGGACGGGCTGGTATTACAGCCCGTCCTCTAAACAAATGACAAAGCCCATTCCATGCACCCGCCAAACCCGCTGTTGATGAATGAAAAACGGTTTCCACACGACTCACCAACCCGTCCACGACTCAAGTCCATTACATTCAGCGGTCGACCCCACAGACACATTCATAAATTTTAATATGCTGTTCATTCAAAACGGGAATTTTCTCAAGTATAAATTAATATTATAATATATTGGCATATTGTGTATATATGGGCATAGGATAGGTTAGGTTATGTGTTTAGGTTCTAGTTGGCCATTATTTGTATTTGTAGAACGTGGGTGAAGCATTTATAGCAACCCGTCCTCGACTCAAGTCCATTACATTCAGCGGTGAACCCCACAGACGCATTCATAAATTTTAACATGCTGTTCATTCAAAACGGGAATTTTCTCAAGTATAAATTAATATTATAATATATTAGCATATTGTGTATATATAGGCATAGGATAGGTTAGGTTAGGTGTTTAGGTTCTGTTGGCGATTATTTGTATTTGTAGTACGTGGGTGAAGCATTTATAGCGTTGTGGTTCGAACAAAATTCGTCAGTGAAGCACTTGTTCCGGATATGTTCGAACGTCAGCAGCTGTGAGTCGTGTGTAAACCGCTTTTCATTCATAAACAGGGGGTTTGGCGGGTGCATGGAATCACTTTTGGATCTTTGTTTGGAGGACGCTTTTCATTCATAAACAGGGGATTTGGTAGTGGTGCATGGAATCACTTTTGGATCTTTGTTTGGAGGACGGGCTGGACTCACAACTGATTTCGTTCGATCACTTCCGGAACAAGTGCTTCACTGACAAATTTTGTTCGAACCACAACGCTGTAAATGCTTCACCCACGTGCTACAAATACAAATAATCGCTAACACAACCTAAACACCTGACCTAACCTATGCCTAAATATGCACAGTATGATAATATATTATAATATTAATTTATATTTGAGGAAATTCCTGTCTTGAATGAACAGCATGTTAAAACTTATGAAATGTGTCTATGGGGTCGACCGCTGGATGGAATGGACTTGAGTCGAGGACGGGATGGTTCATAACAATAACAACATTTGTTTGGAAAGTTTCCTTGCTCGTAAACTGTCGTAAACAGTTTAATAAATGTAAACAAAGCCGCCAAAGATTGTGGAAAGATGTAGAGGTTCACGCGTGTGTGTGTACAGCCCGTCCTCCAAACAAATATCCAAAAGTGATTCCATGCACCCGCCAAACCCCCTGTTTATGAATGAAAAACGGTTTACACACTACTCACAATTGCTGACGTTCGAACATATCCGGAACAAGTGCTTCACTGACGAATTTTGTTCGAAACACAACGCTATAAATGCTTCACCCACGTACTACAAATACAAATAATCGCCAACAGAACCTAAACACCTAACCTAACCTAACCTATCCTATGCCTATATATGCACAATATGCTAATATATTATAATATTAATTTATACTTGAGAAAATTCCCGTTTTGAATGAACAGCATGTTAAAATTTATGAATGCGTCTGTGGGGTCGACCGCTGGATGTAATGGACTTGAGTCGAGGACGGGTTGCAGCGTACCTGCTTTACGACTCTGGTCCGAGGCTTGGAGACTGAGCCTTTTACAGTCCGTAGCATGGGGGGGGGGGGAGAATACAGGCTTGTGCTGGGTTTGATAATATAACTTTGTGCTTTATTACGTGTAAAGGCAGTCATTTTATTGTTGTCATTATTAAACTAATATGTATATAATTTTTAAGCGTGCAAGATGGGAGGGACCTTTGACACGCCACTGGCTTCTTGTCCTCGTCGAGGCCACTAGTGTTAGTGGCCCCTCAGGTAAATTCAGGCACAGAGAGAAGTTGGAAATTTATTTATAGTGTTTTGGGCTCTTTAATTTTGTTCCTCTTTTCGAGTAGAACATTGACTTAAATGGGGTCCTTTAGTTATTTTAACGTTTACCATTCTATGAGCAGCGTACTACCACAGTGCCTAAACTAGCGTAACACTGTGATCATTCAGATCGATATCTATTTGCCACTCCGACAAAAATTTTGCAGTTTGGCTTAAAAGATCAAATTTACGAGCCCAAGTAACCTTTCCATGCCGGGAACTTCAGTGTTACTGTGCTCTAATTTGTCTCTTGAAATACAAATATTTATACTTGAAACTTCGTAAACTAAGTCTATTATAAATGTAAATAGTTTGAGTTGTGTTTTTTTAATTGTTCTTAATTTAATGTTGAACCGGATGTCTCGCATTGTTTTATAATTGTATAATAGTTATGCTTTTATTAATCTCAGAGCATTTTAAACATGTCGCAAAACAAGTCATTAAAACCAACTTGGTTAAATTTAGTTTTTAGATTTATAGTGAAATTTTAACTGATATAATATTTTTGTATAAACTATACCTCAGTGTCACTGTTTACTTGGCTGCTTAAAGCTGTAGTTAATAGGAAATTATTTGGAATAGCAGCATTCTTCTGTATACTTATAAAGATGGTTTTCCTGCTTGTGTTCTAGCAGCTCTGACACCAGGGTCAAAAATCAAGTTTGAAGAACAAGTCTACAGACCTCTCATACTGTGTATGTGGTGGGTGTCGATCCCTGGCCAGAGTTTCCCTGACAGCCATTGTGTGCCTGTACCCAAACTAGAACTCCACACGCCCCCTTTGCTTTCTCTCAAGTCTCTTTCTCTCTTGAGTCTCTCGCTGTCTCCTGTTCCTCGGTATTGTCTCTGCACGCAATTATTCTTCCAACTACCGCCCTAAACCTCGCTGCCTCTTGGCGTCAATCATTAAATATCTACCCATTGAGTGGATATTGAATGATTGGACACAGGTGTCCGTGTGTGTCCGCTTACCGCGGCCTGTGTGACGAGGCTTGACGCGGTGTGTCCCTCCCGGCAGGACGCGGGTGGGCACCTTCAGGACGGAGCTGGGGGAGGTGACGAGCCACGTCAACCTCAGCGACGTGACGGTACGGGACGGCGGCACCTACACCTGCACTGCCCAGAACGCCGTCGGCTCCGTCGCCCACTCCGCCAGGCTCAATGTTTACGGTAAGTGTAAATAGTTTATTTTTGTCCGTGACGCAGGTGGGTACCGGAGATGACTTCTGCTGGCAGGTTTACAGCTCCCATTCCCCCCCCCCCTTGACGCAGGTGGGTACCGGAGATGACTTCTGCTGGCAGGTTTACAGCTCCCATTCCCCCCCCCCCCCCTTGACGCAGGTGGGTACCGGAGATGACTTCTGCTGGCAGGTTTACAGCTCCCATTCCCCCCCCCCCCTTGACGCAGGTGGGTACCGGAGATGACTTCTGCTGGCAGGTTTACAGCTCCCATTCCCCCCCCCTTGACGCAGGTGGGTACCGGAGATGACTTCTGCTGGCAGGTTTACAGCTCCCATTCCCCCCCCCCTTGACGCAGGTGGGTACCGGAGATGACTTCTGCTGGCAGGTTTACAGCTCCCATTCCCCCCCCCCCCTTGACGCAGGTGGGTACCGGAGATGACTTCTGCTGGCAGGTTTACAGCTCCCATTCCCCCCCCCCCCCCCTTGACGCAGGTGGGTACCGGAGATGACTTCTGCTGGCAGGTTTACAGCTCCCATTCCCCCCCCCCCCCCCTCCTCCCGCAGCAGCCCGTTCTCCCGAGCGTTCCCAACGTCACTAAACTGTTGTATTAAACTGCCCAAACCTAACCTGACTTGACCTGACCGACGAACAGAAAACGGGACACCGCGAGCCGCTGTCATGTTTAGTACATAAGTCAAAATATATTTCCCCATGGTCAGAAACTATCAAAATGGGATGTATTTTTTTTTTTTTTTTTTTTTGGCAGGAACATTCACTCATGAGAAGGGGTTGGCCACAGCTCTGATATAGCTATACCCTGCTAGTTCCCCCCCCCCCCTACCCCTACAACACACACCAACAAATTTATTCTTTTGGGGTGTTTTGTATTTTCACTGATTGTATTGTTTTATTATGTAATTAATGCATTTTTGTACCAAAAGTATTTGGAAATAAATACTGATAATCCTTTGGTTGCGGTTTGTAAACAATGAATGTTTTGGTCAATTAGGCTGTTAAAACCAGACTTACTTTAGAAGAATAAGCTGACGTATGGTTGATTCCCACCACCAGATGTCTCCGTCACCTGAGCGGCCATGTTAGGAAACATTTTGCCCCCAGTGCTGAGAGAAACTTTAAGATGACAGCATGTCGGCTGGCCCCGTGTTACTGCCACCTCCAACTCCCGGCCTCGGACTTCCTCAAACACAATATTCATGACTTATTCTATTAGAGGAGAGCAAAGAGAGCGGACATATGTCCATAGTGATGTATGGGGCTGATGGAGGTGAGCGTTTAGTTAGGTCAAGCGTAAAGTTTGAGGTGGTTTGACCTAACCAGAACGGTACAAACCTAAGCAACTCTCCTAACCTGTCAAGAGTGACGATAATTATTTTTAGGGAATGTCAATATTGCATTTTTTTTATTCTTGATAAAATACTTGAATTTCTATACATTTGCCTATAGCGTCCCAATTGCATTGTATTGTGAGAGAACAGATCGTGCGCACTTGTTATTTTTTTCTAAATCGAGCCAAGTGTGTATAGTGTATTTATAAAGCAGACTGTAATGTGTGTATGCCTGTGGTTGGAGACTAGACGCTTAGGGCTAACGTCTCCCAACTTTGCAAGATGAATCATGTTGCATAGGGGAGTGTCCTAGGCCAGGCTGTGTAGACCCAAGTGAGATATCTGCAAATTTCCATTTATAGAAATCCTGCCCCTCCCCCCTCCATGAGATTTTCATGAAGTAAAAGTCTCAAATATTTGATGTTTCCAATTGAGGTTCAACAATTGGTGCTCTAGAGTATTTTTTTTTTTTTGTTAGAGAGAGAGAGGGGGGGAGGGGGAGGAGAACTGTGAGGAGGGCAGAAACAGAAGGTAGAATGAGACCCAGGCACAGCCAGGTACCCCTTCTAGTGTGTGTGTATCTACACTACAAAGAGGGTTAATCGGCGGTCCCTAGATGCCCTCCCCACTTAGCCCTTCTTCTTTCATAAAATACAATCCTTTTCCTTCGTCCTTCCCCACCCTTCCCATAGTCCCGACCCACCCCTTGCTTAGCCTCTCTTCCATTTCATAAAATACAATGTTAGAGAGCAAAGAGACAACTGTATGGATTTAAGGAAATCATTTTTTCTTATTACAAATCACTGTTTGGGCATCTCGGCCAATATTTCACACTTGACCACAGTTGAATCCCCCTCATCCAATCCATAAGAATCGGATGAGGGGGTGTGAATAATTAATGTTTCTTAAATCATTTAACTTGGGCTTATCGGGGTAGACTTATGTCTGTCCCATACCCCAGAACATTTTCCCTGCAAACTTGGACAAGGCTTGTTACAAGTATTTGGCCTCCAATTTTGGACAAACTGCAGACACTCTTATAAGTATACTAGCTGTACCCGGCCACGCGTTGCTGTGGCTCACAGCAACCTTTTCCCTGTCTCCCAGTACTCCCTCCAGTCCTCCTCCGTCATCTGCTATGCCGATGACATATGCATTGTTGCAAATACCCAAAGTAGACTGCAAGCTCTACTTGATTCACTCAGTGCTAAAAGCATTGAATGTGGTCTTGTTATCTCTATAACTAAATCCAGAGTTCTTCATCCACAAGACAAAACTCATTTCCTTATAACTTTCAAGGTCAACAACCAGAACATTGAAACGTGTAGGCAGCACAAATACCTTGGAGTTGGTATTAACAGTGACATTGTAAACGATCTACACCGTAGGGTAAAGTCTACACCGTAGGGTAAAGTCTACACTGTAGGGTAAAGTCTACACCGTAGGGTAAAGTCTACACCGTAGGGTAAAGTCTACACCGTAGGGTAAAGTCTACACCGTAGGGTAAAGTCTACACCGTAGGGTAAAGTCTACACCGTAGGGTAAAGTCTACACCGTAGGGTAAAGTCTACACCGTAGGGTAAAGTCTACACCGTAGGGTAAAGTCTACACCGTAGGTCGCTGCTAAAAGCACTAAATATTCCAGGTAGACAATGACACAATTTTTTTATATAGAGTATTATCATTTTTTAATACTCTGGTGTTCATTATTTCATAAACTCACAATATTTGCTTCGGAAGAAACAAATTCCCACTGGGGAAAACTATATTCAATTTTTTTTTTCTGGATGATGCAAATAGCGTCGAAGGTACACTAAGGTGAGAATAAGGAAGAGCATCGGACGGTATATTGAAATCCAGGTCACTTCTTCATGATTATTAGACAGCTTCATTACGTCACCTGTGGCAGCTAGTCAATGAGAATCATTTGAATACAAAAGATTTTATCGTGTGTTGTAATGCCATTGATTGCCATCGTGACCACATCACCTATGCCAGTCACCTCATCCACACTGCCTACACCAACCATGCCAGCCACACTAACCCCCCAACCCACACTGAGCCCACTCCTGCCTTCCACTGCGTCAACACCACACACACCCTCCCACAGGTAACACTGACCCCAGGTAACCCCGCAGGTCCGCCCTTCGTGCGTGCGATGCCCAACGTGACGGCTGTGGCTGGCGAGGACGTGAGGCTGTGGTGTCCTGCTGGAGGCTTCCCCGCTCCTACCATCACCTGGCGCAGGGAGGGACTCTCTCTCCCCTCCTCCCTCAGGTGAGTGGTGTGTCAAGCCTAGTTGTGCTTTTTCTTTGGGGGGGGGGTTGATCTTTGGCTCTTTTCTCCCGCGTCTCGACTGTTAATGACCTGGTGTACAGGTTCCTGAGCCTATTGGGCTCTTATCATGTCTACATGTGAAACTATGTATGGAGTCAGCCTCCACCACATCACTTCCTTGTGAGTTCCGTTTGTTAACTACTTTTGACACTGAAATTTTGTTTTCAAAACTCTGTGGCTCATTTGAAATTTGTTTCCAGCTGTGTCCTCTTGTTTGTGTTCTTCTCATGCTAATTAGTTTTTGTCCAATCAGAGGTATTGACAGAATTTTGTAGGTGGTGTCTCCCGAAACTCTTCTGTTTTCCAGGGACGTGAAGTTTAATTCCCATAGCCTTCCTTGTAACTCATACTTCTTAGCTCTGGGACTAGTCTGTTGGTATACCTCTGAATCTTCTCTAACTTTGTCTTGTTTAACTAGGTATGGACTCCAGGCTGCAGCTGCATACTCCAGGATTGGTCTGACGTGTGTTATACAAGGTTCTGACATATTCCTTAGACAAGTTTCTAAAGACAGTTCTAATGTTGCCCAGCCTGGTATAGTCGCTGATGATGTCCTTTTGATGTGGGCTTCTGAGGAGAGGAAAGATGTAATATCGACCCCCAGATCTTTCTCTCTGCTTGACTCTTGGAGGATTTCACCTCCAAGATGATACATTGCGTTCAGCCTCTTATATTCAGAAAATATAAAAACGGAAACCACGTACAAAACTCAGGCAAATCATAACATAGAACGAAAAGGCAATGTAAAGGATCTGGGTGTACTCATGTCGGAAGACCTTACCTTTAAAGAACACAATAAAGTAGCCGTCACAACTGCAAGAAAAATGACAGGTTGGATAACAAGAACTTTTCACACTAGAGATGCTATACCGATGATGATACTTTTCAAAACGCTTGTGCTCTCTAGAGTGGAGTACTGCTGCACAATGACAGCACCTTTCAAAGCTGGAGAAATTGCTGACCTGGAGAGCGTGCAGAGATCCTTTACTGCTAGAATCCACTCAGTAAAACATCTAAACTATTGGGACCGACTAAAGAGCCTAAATCTGTACTCCCTTGAGCGCCGGTGGGAGAGATACATAATAATTTACACGTAGAAAATATTAGAGGGGCTGGTCCCAAACCTGCACACAGAAATAACATCACATGAGACCAGAAGACATGGCAGGATGTGCAGAATACCCCCGTTGAAGAGCAGAGGTGCAACAGGTACTCTGAGAGAGAACTCTATCAACATCAGAGGCTCGAGACTGTTCAACACGCTTCCACTACACATAAGGCGCATAACTGACCGACCCCTCACAGTGTTCAAGAGAGAACTGGATAAGCACCTCCAAAGGATACCTGATCAAGCAGGCTGTGATTCATACGTCAGGCTGCGAGCAGCCGCGTGCAACAGCCTGGTTGATTAGTCCGGCAACCAGGAGGCCTGGTCGACGACCGGGCCGCGGGGACGCTAAGCCCCGGAAGCACCTCAAGGTGACCTCCCGCACCCAATTTCACTACTCTACACTTACCCGAGTTAAACTTAAGTAGTCATTTTCTAGACCAATCCTCCAGTTTGTCTAGGTCGTCATGTAGTCTCTTTCTATCTTCCTGTGTCTTGATCCTTCACATAATTTTAACATCATCAGCAAACATTGAGAGGAATGAGTCTATACCCTCTGGAAGATAGTTTACATATACCAGAGACATGATACGTCGAAGTACAGAGCCCTGTGGGACTCCGCTGGTGACATTTCATCGCTCTGAGATCTCCCCCCCCCCCCTCCTAACAGTAACTTCGTTTTCTGTTGCTTAGATGCCCCTTATTCCCATGAGAACATTCCCTGTTATTCCTGCCTGTTTCTCCAACTTTTGTAACACCCTCCTATGGGATACTGTATCAAAGGGTTTCTGACAGTCTAAGAAAATGCACTCTACTCACCATTCTTTTCTTGCCTACTTTTTGGCGCCTAGTCATAGAATTATATTAAACCTGTAAAGCACGATTTAACATCCCTGAACCCATGCTGGTGGTGTGTTGTAAAGTTCATCCTCTCGAGATGTTCTACGAGCTTTTTCCTCACGGTCTTCTCCATCACCTTGTATAGTATACAAGTTAGGGAAACCAGCCTGTAGTTCAGTGCCTCTTGCCAGGCACCTTTTTGTATAATGGGACTACATTAACTGTCGTCTAACTTTCCGGTAGGGCTCCAATTTCCAGTGACCTGTTATACACTATAGAGTGGGGGTACATGTGATGCTTCTGCACAGTATATATATGATATATATGTGTTTACTAGTTGTGTTTTTGCGGGGGTTGAGCTCTGCTCTTTCGGCCCGCCTCTCAACTGTCAATCAACTGTTTACTAACTACTTTTTTTTTTTTTTTTTTTTTTTTTTCCACACCACACACACACACACCCCAGGAAGCAGCCCGTGACAGCTGACTAACATTGATCACACACACACACTCATGTGTGTGTGTGTGTGTGTGTGTGTGTGTGTGTGTATGTGTGTGTGTGTGTGTGGTCTCGCCTAGTTGTGTTTGCGGGGATTGAGCTTCCGGTCTTTGGTCCCGCCTCTCGACCGTTAATCTACTGAATAGATTCCTGAGCTTCTCGAGCTCTATCATATCTACATTTGAAAGTGTGTATGGAGTCGGCCTCAGTAGTGGGATGTATAGCTTAGCCCCAACTGAACATTTTTAAGCCCAGTTTGAACTAAGCTGCCAGGGGTTTTAGGGTAAACAATTTTTTTCAGAGATTTACTTCACGCTAAGCCGCCAGGGGCTTCAGGAAAATTATCATAGTTTTATTCGTCTCTGATGTGTCAAGGTTTTCAGGGGGAAATTGGTCAGAGTTTCGCTTCCAACTATTTTACTTATAAAATAAGTTAAGGTTAAGTGGGGGTGTGAAAAGCTAAGATGAACATAAAATGCTGAGTGGGTAGTGTACAAGTAAAAATATATGGGGATTAAGATTAGATTAGGTTGGGGTTGGTTAGGTTAGGGTTAGTTAGGTTAGGGATGGTTAGGTTAGGGTTGCTGGGTTATGCAAGGGAAGGATGCTTAACAGCACTTTAGAAAGAGATTGATAACACAACTATGAGTGAGAAATGGTAATAAGATAAGATTGATAAATTTGTTGGATATGCGTTTTATGTAATGTTCTGAAATTAGTATATATGTGTAAGTGTTTCTCAAAGTGTCTAAGTGTTTGCAAGAGTTGTGTTAGTTTGTGTAAGAGTGTATATGATATGTGATAGTACATAAATATATTTATATGTTTAACTAAGTTAAACATGTAAACATTTGTACAAGTTGGAGAAAGTGTGTAAGTTAAGTATATGTGTATGTGTCAGTCTGTGTGTAAGTTTTGTAAAAGTATAATTGTAATTGTGTAAGTTTCTACATGTTCTGTATAAAATGAGGAGTTCGTATGTGTGCATGTGCAAGTCTGTGTTTGTTTGTGTAAGTAATTGAATGAACTGAGTATTTTGTGTAAGTTAGGTAAACGTGTGTAAATGTTTATATTTTATGCTAGTTTGTGTATGTAATTGTACGTGTAAATGAGAATGTGACATATATATATATATATATATATATATATATATATATATATATATATATATATATATATATATATATATATATATATATATATATATATATATATATATATATATATATATATATATATATATATATATATATATATATATATATATATATATATATATGTCGTACCTAGTAGCCAGAATGCACTTCTCAGCCTACTATGCAAGGCCCGATTTGCCTAATAAGCGAAGTTTTCATGAATTAATGTTTTTTCGTCTACCTAACCTACCTAACCTAACCTAACCTAGCTTTTTTTGGCTACCTAACCTAACCTTACCTATAAATATAGGTTAGGTTAGGTTAGGTAGGGTTAATATATGATGAGAGAATAAGATGATTCTTAGGTTAAGTTACATTATTTAGGCGAGGGAAGGTAATTAAAGTTCAATTAAGTTAGCAAGTTATGTAAGGTAGGTCAGGTTAGGATTAGTAAGTTACGTAGGTTAGGTAAGGGAAGTTACATTGTGTAAGTTATATTATGATGAGTTACATTAAGATAGGCTACTATAGGTAAATGAGGATAGTAAAATTACATTGGGTAGGCTAAGTTACGTACGTTACCTCAGATAGGGAGGAAATAGGTAAGTTGTGTTAGGATAAGTAAGTTACATTAAGATAGGCTAGTACAGGTTAGGTTAGGTTATGTAGGTTGAGTTAGTAAGTTAGGTTATAGAAGTTACATCAGGTAGGGGAAGAAATAGATAAGTTGGACTAAGTAAGTTACATTAGGATAGGTGAACTCGGAGAAGTATGGGTAGGTTGGGTTGGGGTAAATAAGTTATAATAAGTTACATTAGGATAGGTTAGCTCAGGTAAATCAGGTTAGGTAGGATAATAAATTGTTGATCAGTGAACAGTTTTAAGATTGAGTGGTTAAGAAAATATATTTTAACAGAATAATAAATGAACAGAAATGAGAGTTTGTTACAAAATGGTGAACTAGTTACTTAAAGAGCTGTGTTTTGTGACATTAAATGTTATAAATGAGTTTTGACTGTAAATATCTTAGTGAAAGCTGTTACTACATAAGTCAGTTATTTTTATTCATTTCTACTTAAAGCGTAAGTTTATTAATACATAAAGTTGCACATGTTTAGTTTGATATAATACTTAAAGTTGTTTGAGACTACATAATGCTGAGTCTTAGTTACATATATCTTGACAGGTTGTCCTTGACTACTTATTTATTGAATGAAGAACAACGTTTGTTACATTTGAAAGTCTATTTGATTCTTGAAGAGGTCCTAGAGAGTACTTTTTTATATAAAGACGGGTTAAAGAGTGCAAATGCCAATTAAAATGATCTTGGAACGTATTATTGCGGTCTTGGAGAGATTCT